TTGTTGCTTCACTCACCTTAACTTGCTTAACACTAACATCTTTTTCACATTTTCCCATCAAGTTAGAAAAAAGGAATTGTGGAATAATAAGAAAAACTTTAGAAGAAAAATAAATTAAAGTTGGATTTCTTTAAAAAAATAAAAATAAAAATTTTCATTAACTAGAGATTACATTAAGGAGTTATCGAATTATAAATTTATAAGAGTTATTAACAAAACAAAAAGATTGATAAACTACCTGACTATGAGATAGATCATGAAAGGAAAAATATAAATCTAATTTTCTTTTTCCATATTTCATAATCTAAAACAATTTCAAATTAATAATAAAATACATGATCATATCATATAGATTATGTAATCTTTTATATAAGTTTTAGGAGTACCTTACTTTTAAGCAGTCCAATTGTCCTGCCTCTATTTGATTCACATTGCTCCTCTAACTTTTTAGACCTTTAAAGATTGTAGGAGATGATGGTCCTCCTTTTCTAATCTGCTCTCTGAGAAGTATCTTTTTTAGGAAAAGAAAAAGAATGCTTGAGACTTCTATATTCCTTTTCTCAGAGATAAGTTCCTTTTTAAAAGGAGCATATAAGTGGGGTCTTACATGAATTATTTCTCATAGTTATCCCATTTAAACTCACCTAAATTATCTCTAAAGATCTTATCATTATCTTATAAGATCTTAAATCTCAGCTATTATATCTCTTCGGATTTTGTAGATAACTTTGATTTAAACTAATAATTGTAAACATACCCATCAACATATTTGCAAAGCATCACTAGAGAAAAAACGTATTTACAAGTGAGTCCCTTTCTAGCACTTCTTTGCTAATAGTCCCTTCCACTCTTACCTTTATTCCAATATAAGTTACATAGATAATTTTATATATTTGTTGCCACTCTTATAACTTATATTTAATTCTATATTATATTGGACGCAATATATTCAACTAATATATTATTTATATATTTGATAAATCTTTTATCAAATCATACAACTGGCCGGATTTAACATAGTCCAATATGATAATTAGAATAACTTGGAATAATAATATTCTTCATAAGATTAAATATGGATTCCTTGTTAAGAATAACACATCTCATATAATACTTATGCAAACGAACAACCCCATATATAGTCTTTCAATTAGACATTAATGGTTGGTCATATCAAAGTTAACATGTCCACTATATAGATAATGATATTCTTTCAGGCCTAATGCCGACTTTACAAGTATCTCTCATATTTTCTTGACAACAATAACATAGATATTTACTTATATATGTCTTAATGCTCACTTAGTAATCCACTATTACAAATTATTGAGACAAACCATTCTGTGAATATAACAGTGTGACACATGTTAGTTTCCAAGTGAAATTCCCATCTTTTTACTTAACTAAGAAGATTAAGATTAAGTCATTAGAAAACTTTGTCTCTATCTTTATGATTCACCAATCATAACTAAGTTTCTTTAACTTTAATCTCAGGCAATATATTATTATACATATAAAACAATCATTCACATGAAAGTATAAATAAACTATAATTTATTAGTTTATGAAACAAATTAAATAAATTGGCTTTGTAGGGCATATATGCCTAACAATCTTTCACTTGCACTCAAAGCCAATCATTTATGTATTTCAAACCCATATTATTGATGTGACCATCAAACACTATTCGAGTCAGGGGCTTGGTAGAAGGATCCGCCAAATTATCCGAGGATGCTATCTTCATAACATTGATGTCCCATTTGGTGACCTTTTCTCGAATAAGATGGAACCTTCTTTCAATGTGTTTGCTCTTCTGGTGTGTTCTACGATCCTTAGCCAAAGTGACAGCTCCATTATTATCACAATATAGAGGTATTGGTGTCTCTATAGAAGGTACCACTCCAAGATCTTATACAAACTTGCGAATCCAAATGTCTTATTTTTTAGCTTCACTAGCAGCTATATATTCCACCTCTGTTGTGGAATCAACAGTAGTGTCTTGCTTGTGACTTCTCTAACTCACAACACCTTCGTTCAAAGTAAAGACAAAAGCTGATTTGGACTTTCTATCATCAATATCTTATTAGAAATCTAAATCTGTATAACCTAACACTTTTAGGTCATCACAACCATATACCAAATAATAATCTTTTGTCCTTCTTAAGTACTTGAATATGTGCTTCACTGCTATCCAGTGCTTGATACTTACTTGAATATGTGCTTCACTGCTATCCAGTGCTTGATACTTGATTTGCTTGGTATTTGCTTACCACAATCACAACATGACTAGTATCGGTTCTAGTACAAAGCATGGCATATATGAGACTTCCCATTGCTGAAGCATATGGATAAATCTTCATTTTATTAATGTCCTCAATAGTTTTAAGGTTGCATTTTCTTCGAAAGAGCAATACCATACCTAAAAGGTAAATTACATTTCTTTAACATATTGAACTTTCCCAATATTTTCTTAATATAGTTTTTTTGTGAGGGTCCTAACATCCTTTTTCTTTTATCCGTAAACCTATTTGAGACCAAGGATGTAGGAAGCATTTTTAAGATCTTTCATTGAAAAATAATTTGATAACCATATTTTCACACGAGATAATATTGCAACATCACTCCCAATGAGTAGGATATCATCTACATATAGCACTAGGAATGTAATTGTACTTCCACTAACCTTTTTGTACAAGTAGGCCTCATCTATATTTTGGATAAAACCAAACGATTTGATAGCTTCATCAAATCTCAAGTTCCAACTTCTTGAAGCCTTCTTAAGGCCATAAATTAATCTATTTAACTTCCATACCTTATTTTCCTCACCTTTGGGAATGAATCTTTCAAGTTGTTCCATATAAATATCTTCTTCAAGATAACCACTTAGATATCTTATTCTAACATCCATTTTCCAAATTTCATAATCATGATAAGCAGCTATTGCCAACAAAATTCTAAAGGATTTTAGCATAGATACTAGCGAAAAGGCTTTCGCATAATTAATTCCTTCTTTTTGATTATATCATTTTGCTACTAGTCTAGCTTTATAGTTCTCCACCTTTCCATCAACGTCTTTCTTCCTCCTGAAAATCCACTTGCATCCAATGGGCTTGATTCCTTCGGGTGGATCAACTAAAGTCTAGTCGTTATTGGTATACATAAAATCGATTTATGATTGCATAGCATTTATTCATTTATTAGAATCAGCATCATCCATTGCTTCCTTATAGTTATAAGGATTTACCTCTGTACTGTCAAAGATCATGATAAATTGTTCTCCAATGTGTACAAGTCTTGAGGATGGTCGAACCGTTTGACTACTCTTTCTAGTGGGTTTGTGTCTCATTTACTGTGTCACTAAATTATGTTCATGGTGCACTTCTTGTAGACGATCTACATAAGGTTGTAGCACTTCTTCTAAAGACTACTCTCTCTTTATTACCATCATTAAGAGCAAATTCTTTTTCAAGAAAGTTAGCATTTATTCTTGCAAATACCTTTTGCTCATTTGGGTTGTAGAAATAATATCCAATTGTTTCTTTTGTATATCCTACAAATAAACACTTCTCTGATCATGATTCCAGTTTATCTATGATACGAGTCGCCGTGTGAGCACCCCTGATCAATGAATTATCAAGAGTGGGTTGTGAAAAAAACAACATAAGAACACACAAAGAGTTGATTTGGGTGAAGAAAAATACCTTCTCTACATTATGAGAATTAATAGATTACAAATCTCTCTCTCACAATCTCTCTAGATCAAAGAACAACCTCTCTGATCTCTTTTCTGATTATAATATGGATGATAAACCCTAGAAAAATTGTGTTTCTATTTATATCAAATAGAAATACTAAACAGTACAGGAAACTAAGTCCAGACCCAAAACTACGTCGCGGTCGACCGTGGCGATCGACCGTGCAGGTATCACGGTCGACCGTGGTGGTCGACCGAACCAACTTCCCAAGAGTAAAATAGTTACAATCATGGCGCGGTCGACCGTGGCGGTCGACCGAATCTCCTCACGGTCGACCGTGCAGGTATCGCGATCGACCGAATCCAACTCTAGAGACTTAAATTCCTATAGGGTACGCGGACTTAAATTCCTACAGGGTATGCACGGTCGACCGCGACAGTCGACCGCCTTCGGATCCAGCTCCTCCTGAGCTCCTGTGCACGTTCGCGGTCCACCGTGGCTGACTCGCGGTCGACCGCAGGCAGTCCAAACTCGTTTCCTGCAGATTCATGTAGCCTTCGACGTTGCCGCCTCTGACGACTTCTTTCACGTCTCTATTCTCAAGATACCATGAGAATCATCTATCCTCAAACTTCTGATGATGATCGCTAAGCTCCTGAAGCAAGGAAGAAGATACACCCGTATCATGGCTCCCCCCTCTAGGAACTTGAAGTCCTGTTCAAGTTAGAACTGGAGCTGAGCGAACTCGCGAGCCCCTCCTTCTCTGTTGAACCACCTGGCTTTGCTAGGAACCTAACCATGGCGTCCGATCAAAAATGACTCTTTCATCCCGCGTCTCGTCGTAGTCAACTTCCGTTCTAAAATGCAATATTCCTTGTGTGGTTCTTCTCTATCGAACCATAAATCATCGACATGTGGTAAGATCGTTTTGTCATTACCTTCATCATCCAACAATGGAGGTTCAAACAATTTCAAGTACTCGATGTTGATCACCGAATACATGCCGAGGTAAGGTGGTAAATCTAGTTTGAAAGCGTTGTCACCAATTTGATCAATAATCCGAAACGGACCATATCGTATAGGCTTTAACTTTTTCCCTTCTCCTTTTAGCCGTTCCTTACTCAACTTCAACCATACCATATCACATTTACCAAAATTACAAGGAACTTGATGTTGATTATGTTTCGCCTTGTATTTAGCTTGTGATTTCTTCAATTGTGCTTCCACTGTGGCATGAATATGAGCAATCTTCTCTAAAAATCGCTGAGCTTGTTGCCTTTCACTCTCTTCCTTGCCGTCGACCGTAGCTTCACTTGAAAACATGAGATCAAACAGACTCGGAGGTAAAAACTCAAACGGTGATTTCCCCGAAGATCCATGAATAGCCCGATTAAACACAAACTGAAGATATGGTAAACTCTCATACCAAGTCTTGGGATGCATGGAATTGTATCCTCACAACATGTGCACCATATTCCGATTAACCACTTTTGTTTGTCCGTCTGTTTGTGGATGGAACATTGTGCTCTTCTTCAACCTAGTGTCCATCAAACTCCACAAAGAATCCTAAAAATATCTGAGAAACCGGCTATCTTGATCTGAAATAATCGAATTCGGTAACCCAAAGTGCTTCCACACATGCTCAAAGAACAAATGCGCTGCACCCGCTCCCATCACGGTCTTCGTACAAGGAATGAAGATCACCATCTTGCTGAACCAGTCCACCATAACGAACAAATAATCATGTCCTCGCTTGGTCATCGGCAATCCTCTTAAGAAATCCATAGAAATACTCTCCCACGGTCTCGAAGGTACCGACAATGGTAGATACAATCCTCGTTTCCTATTGGAAGGTTTCAAAATACAACATAGCTTATACCCTCCAACATACTTAGTGACATCCTCCAATATCTTTGGCCAAAAGACATGGCGCCGTAAATTGAGAAGCGTCTTCTGAATCCTAAAATGACCTTTCACACGTGATGTATGTGCTTCTCGAATCCACTGTAATCGGTCACCGTCCTCCGAAATGCAAAGTGACGTCCTACAATACAACAAACCATCCTCACTAATCTCATACTCCCCCTTTCGACCAGCCATCGCCCGCTCAAGCACACTGTTGAAATCTCTGCTGGATATGTACATCTGTACATACTTCAAAGGAACCAAGGACTGAATGCACGTCACCACCAAAAGTGCCATCACTGATGGGTGAGATAACATATCAGCTAACTTGTTCGTCATCCCCTTCTTGTACCTAATAATGATATTGAACGCCATCAAATAGGACATCCACTTCATGTGTCGTGCCTGCTGTAGCTTCGTCTGGGCATGTAGAAATTCTAATGGTTTGTGATCTGAGTGCACAACCACCTCCTTACCCAACAAATACACGCATGTAGAAATTCTAATGGTTTGTGATCTGAGTGCACAACCACCTCCTTACCCAACAAATACACCCTCCAATGTTTGATCGCTTGATAAAGTACAATCTGAGTGCACAACCACCTCCTTACCCAACAAATACACCCTCCAATGTTTGATCGCTTGATAAAGTACAAAAAACTCCTTGTCGTAGGTAGGATAGTTTTGAATAGCACCCGTAAACATCTCTGAATGATACTCCGCCAGCTTACCATCCTGAATCAACATAGTGCCCATAGCATAAGTAGAAGCGTCGGTCTCCACCTCGAAGGTCCTCTGCAAATTCGGCAAAGCTAACACCGGTGCCTTCGAGATCTTCTTCTTCAATAGCTGAAAAGCTTCCTCATGCGCCCTACCCCACTCAAACTGAACATTCACCTTCGTAAGGCCATGCGAAGGTGCCGCATAAGTCGAAAAATATCGAATAAACTTGCGCAAGTACTGGCAAGCCCCCATAAAGCTTTTCACCTCCGTCACTGTCCTAGGTGTCGGCCACTTTGTGATCACTACCACCTAACTTGGATCTATCCTTCGCTGGCCCTTCCCCACGATGAAGCCGAGATACACCAACTTGTCCTTCCCAAACTCGCATTTCTTCCTATTGAGCTTCAGCTGTCCATTCTGCAAAACTTCAAACACTTTCTCAATATGAATAAGATGCTCCTTCCAGCTCCTACTATACACCAAGATGTCATCGAGGTAAACTATCACAAAGTCCTTTATAAAAGGTCGCAACAAATTATTCATAAGCCTCATAAAGGTAGCCGGAGGGTTACACAAACCAAACGGTATCACCAACCACTTGAATAGGCCCTGCTTGGTCTTGAATGCAGTCTTCCAAGTGTCAGCCTCCCAAATCCTTACTTGATGGTAACCAGACTTCAAATCCAACCTCGTGAAGAACCTTGCTCCCTCCAACTGATCCATGAGATCGTCAATCCGTAGTAATGGGTAGCGATTCTTAATGGTTATCTTGTTGAGTGACCGGTAATCCACAAACATGCGCCAACCTCTATTCTTTTTGGGCACCAACAATACTGGAGACCCGCAAGGCGAACAACTCGGCACAATCACTCCTGTCTCCAAAAGCTCCTGAACCTGTCTCTTGATCTCCTCAGACTCCTCTACAGATATTCGGTATATGCCTATATTTGGCAAGGAACTCTTGCTAGTCAACATAATCTCATGTTCCACACCTCATAGTGGTGGTAGTCCTGTGATCTCCGAAAACAAGTTCTCGTACTTGGCCTTCAACCTGTCAAGATCTCCTTCGTGAAGTTTGCTCAAGGTAGTCAAGCACATCCTACTCAGCTGATCCTCGTAAGGCCTAATGAATAATAATACAAACTTCTTGCTTGTATTCACCAGCCTCTTTGCCTGAGTCACCATCATCAAACTCGTCTCCTGAGGAAGAGACGCCGAACAAAAAATGAATTGTTCACCATCTTTGGTGAATGTATACTTCTGGACCCGCTTATCATAGACCGCATATCTATCCCATAAATAAGGATTGCCCAGTATCACTTGACAAACATCCAACGAAATAACGTTGAATGTGACCTCGTCGATATACGACTCGTGAAGTGCAAATCTGAACGTACATTGGTTGATCACACTCAATCCCGCCTCCTTCTGAATCCACCTCAAAGGATAAGGTTTCGGATGTTTAAGCGTCTTCAATCCCAGCTTCTGAATCAAGGCCTCGAATATCAAATTCTTTTGGCTCCCTAGATCCACTATGACATCAACCAAGCTGGTCTTGACCTGTAGCTTCAAAATAAAGAGTTGTTCTCTTGGGTCTTCGTCTTCTGTCGTGGCCAACTTTCCCATTATAAGGTTAAGACTGCTGTTGGGTTCTGTCATCCCGGAAACTTCCTTCAGACCCTGTGCTACCACCTATGCTTTCTTCTCCTCCTTTTTCTTCAATCCCTTCTGCTTCAGATGAGGATACTTCTCCCAGCAACGATCAGCTATGTGTCCTATCTGTTTGCAGTGATTGCATATTAATCCTGCCTTTCCCGAGTCACCCTTCTTCTCTTCTTTGGGTTAAGAGCCACTAGACTTACCTCCCGTTTGTTTGGAGTCCACATTCGTTTCGTTGCTCTTCTTTTGCCTACCCTCAATGGCAATAACCTTCACACTCGCCTCTGCAATGGACTCAACTGTGAAAAGCCTCATCTCCTTTCGGATATATTCATTCAGACCCGCCATATACTACATAAAAATAGGATATTCTTCTGTTGCGATGTTGAGGACCATCGCATACTGCTGGAACTCCGTCGTATACTCTTGAACAGTCTGGTTGAATCATTGGCGCAACCCGTACCACTTGTACCAACGCTCTTCAAGGAACCCTACCGGATAGATTTGCTTCCTAAGTAGTTCCTTCAACTTGTTCCACGACACTGTCTTCTTCTCCTATTTGCAATAGGATTTCCACCATGTCAATGCATGCCCAGGAAGCTTCAAAGTCACGAACATGAGCTTCTCCTTGGATGAATATCTGTAGAGTGTGAAATAGGTCTCCATCCGCTCGATCCAATCATCAAGCCTCTCGACGTTGACACTTCCATCATAAACAGGAATCTTCACTTTGAAGTCTATCTTCAAATTCTGGTAAGAACCCTTACCCCCTTGGTGTAAAACAGACTTAACAATACGGGCCTCCTCATCTGAATCTGAATCCTTGCCTTCTCCATCGGACTCCACAAGTTTCTTCTTGCCTTTTGAAGAAGATTCCTCCTTGTTTCCTTTGTCTTGGACAAGATTGACGAGTTGCATGAGGGTCGAACCCATTGTCTCCATCTGCTTCTCCAATGCATCTAGCCTTACTGAACTATCTCCTTTAGTCATCTTCTTCTTCCTTAATTTCTAGACTCCTTCCAATAAAATAAGGATCTCGCCTAGCTTCTTGTATTACGATCGAGTTAGGACCATACACATGATGCCCCCTTCACAGGATCTGATCGCTCTGATACCAACTTGATACGAGTCACCGTGTGAGCACCCTTGATCGCGGAATTATCAATAGTAGGTTGTGAAGAAAACAACAGAAGAACACACAGAGAGTTGATTTGGGCGAAAGAAAATACATTCTCTAGATTATGAGAATTAATAGATTACAAATCTCTCTCTCACAATCTCTCTAGATCAAAGAACAACCTCTCTGATCTCTTTTCTGATTACAATCTAGATGATAAACCCTAGAAAAGTTATGTTTCTATTTATATCAAATAAAAATCCTAAACAGTGCAGGAAACTAAGCCCAAGTCCAAAACTGCGTCGCGGTCGACCGTGACGGTCGACCGTGTAGGTATCATGGTCGACCGCGATGGTCGACCGAACTAACTTCCCGAGAGTAAAATAGTTATAGTCATGGCACGGTCGACCGTGGTGATCGACCAAATCTCATCACAGTCGACCGTGCAGGTATCGTGATCGACCAAATCCAACTCTAGAGACTTAAATTCCTACAGGGTACGCGCGGTCGACCGCGGTGGTCGACCGCCTTCGGATCCAGCTACTCCTGAGCTCCTGTGCACGTTCGTAGTCGATCGTGGCTGACTCGCGGTCGACCGTAGGCAGTCCAAACTCGTTTCCTGCAGATTCCTGTAGCCTTCGACGTTGCCGCCTCTGACGACTTCTTCCACGTCTCTATTATCAAGATACCATGAGAATCATCTATCCTCAAACTTCTGATGAGGATCACTAAGCTCCCGAAGTAAGGAAGAAGATACACACGTATCAATCTACATTTTATTTTCTTATATAAACTGGACATCCCCAAAGTTTAAGGTGTCTTAAACTTGGCATTTTCCCCATCCATAACTCATAAGGAGATTTAGGGATAGATTTTGATGGGGTTCTATTAAGAAGATAAATTGCAATCTCTAACGCAAATCCCAAAATGATAATAGAAAATCAGCATGAGCATGACTCATCATAGAACACACCATGTCTATTAAGGTTCTGTTTCTTCTTTCAAATACACCATTAAGTTGTAGTATACCAGGAGGAGT